TTATAGTATCTTTGAACTGGAAATGCCTTTAGAGATCTAAGTAGTGCTCTCAGAAGATTAATATGAAAATGGTGGCTGGCTAGATTAGAGGACAGAGAGCCTGGAGGTGAACAGGCAAGAGACAGAAATAAGGGCTTATCCTTTAATGATGACTTCAGAAGTCAAATTAAGGAGTCTAATATGTTAGAAGTTATGAAGTAAGAACTGACAGGCTTTAGTGACTGATTATGCCATAGAAGGAAGAAGAGGTCTAAGATAACTCCAAACCTTCAACCTTAGAACCCTAGAACACAACTATGGTGAGAAGTCGAAAGAGAATGGGGGGGAGGGGCGGGTAATGACTCTTACAGTTAAGTTCAGCTGAGGTGAGCAGGACATCCAAACGTATTTCCACTAAGCGGTTGGAGTCTTATGACTGGAATTCAGAAGTGTTCAAAGCTAGGGATGCGGATTTGGAAGTCATCTGTGTAAAGGGTTCTGCCAATATTGAAATTATAGTCTGAGAATAGCCACTGACTTCTGAAAAGCCACAGATATTGTGGCTCTTTTATGCGGACACACACACGAAAATCATTCCCTATGTTTTTGTTATCCCAAGAGAGAGAAGAGTCAGCACACTATATTCCACAATTAGTACTTTTCTTTGGAAATTGCAATAAATATAATAAAGTCAGTATAAATAATGGAGTGTCTATACTACATTAGTACACTACTAGTGTAGATAACAGTAAAGCCTATTCTTACCTGTCTTTGTATTTCCCGCCTTGCCAATGGTTGGTGGCCCCCAAAAGACTTGTTGACTAAATTAAAATGACAGCTGGATTTTGAGATGGTTAATATACTTTAAAAAGGCATTGGGAAGGATTTATAGTGTTCAATTTTTATCCTAAGTGCCTGCTGTTAAGAATACAGAAAAAGCCCACAGAAGTTGGGAAAACTCTGGTTATGTTTTATTCCAAAAGGAATGAAAAAAGAATTCTTCATTTTGTACTTTAATGTAATCATTAATAACAGTTTTTGGATCAAAAAAAATCAACCTTAAATCATAATTGTCATCATTAGTCTTCCAAGGCAGTGCTTAGAGCAATGCCATGAAATTTAGTATCTCTTTGTATATATTCCTTTTGTCTAAATCAAAGAAGCAAAATTTTACAACTGGAAAAATCTTAGTGCTTATCCACTTTCAGTGGCAAAAATTTAGAACGCTAATAGTTATTTAACATCTGCAGGTCTTATCTCTCAACATCAAACTGTAGTTTTATAAAGTCTACATTCTTTACTTGATTGAAATCCCCCATTTTAGCAATGTCTTCTATACATGGTACTCAACAAATACTTGTTGATTGGTATGTGAGTCTGTCAAATGAACCCTAAACACACACACACACACACACACACACACACACACACTTGCTCAAAACAGGGTTTAGAAAGTCTTTTTTTTTTTTTTTGACATTAATTAAATCATAGAAAAATACTCTGGGTATCAGGGAAGGTCCTAGGCCTTATGCAGAGTAAGGTAGCTAAGTAAATGCTGACTTTCGTGGGTGTTTTTCTGAAAGCATTATCAGGCTGGAAAAGGAAAATTAATAGTGAGTGATTAGATTTACATCCAAATAGTCATTGGAATATTTTGCCCATGTATGGTCATTGGCTGTATTTCTTTTTTTATTTTTTAATTTTCAGTGTCTACTCAGAGACCTGTGTTCGGATTACTCTAGCATTCAGGCTGTAGGGAAAGCCTGAACAAAATGTCTAGATCCCCGAGGAAGTTTAATCAGTGGCTATGGAAACAACATGTAAGCCTGGGATGCAGTCTTTTATAATTTCACTTCTGCACATAAGGAGTGAGAAAACCAGCAGCAGCGTCAAGTTGACGGTTTCTCAGAGGGTTGTACTCAGTCACAACCGCAAAACCAGTGGTTGTCCCAAGCACAAGGCTAGGTTTCTTACCTTCCACGGAGGAACGCAACAAACCAAATGAAGGGCAGTTCTACAGGGCCCACATTACGTTGTTGACCTTCTGATTATATTGAACATATACACACACAAAATGTTCAGAGGGCATAAAAGGGCTTCCGGAAGGACCTGTTAAATTTAATAAGCGTAACTGCGAACAAAGCATTCACGGGGTTTCCTATTAGACTGCAGATTCCAGCAAGGTGGAGGCGAGCAGACCCGGCATTCTACAGCTTGACTAGTGTTGACTAGTGTTCATTTTATGGTGCTGCTCTGCCCTGCTGTGGGAACACTGAGAAGTGCATGAAAAGACTCAGAATCAGCTAATATAAATGCCTTTAATTAGAGAAACAGGCAAAGCACAAATGAAAAACAGAGGCTTCTCTTTCAATAAGAAATCTACACTAAATATTCATATTTCTAAGCTTAGTATTATGACTACTAAAGGATCATACATAAATGCCTTAGAGGGAAAGTGATTGGCGAAGGTCAGATTGTTTTTAATTCATCCACTTGTAAAGTTGAATTTAAGGTTCCTATATACTTCTCATTTTTCCAAACCAAGATGTTTGATGCTGTGTAAAACATGGTACAGGTTTAAATGTGAAAAGCAGGGATAACAATAATAACAGTTAACATTAATTGAGCCATATTATGGAGCTCTGTATCAGGTGGGGTTATGTTTTTTTCCAAAAGGAATGAAAAAAGAACAATTCTTCATTTTGTACCTTAATTTAATCATTAGTAACAGTTTTTGGATCAAAAAAAATCAACCTTAAATCATAATTGTCATCATTAGTCTTCCAAGGCAGTGCTTAGAGCAATGCCATAAAATTCAGTATCTCTTTATATATATATTCCTTTTCTTTGTCCTCTAAATCATAGAAGCAAAATTTTACAACTGGAAAAATCTTAGTGCTTATCCACGTTCAATGGCAAAAATTTAGAACACTAATAGTATTAATTTATTTAATCTTCCCAACAAACTCATGCCATGGCATATTAGCTCTTGATACTTTTCAAAGTGCTTTCACAGAAGTGTTTTCTGTCGCACCCTACACCAGCTGTGAGGGACACAGGGACCCTCATGGTACACAAGACACCTCAAAGACCTTGAGCTGAGTAGGTAACCTCAAGGGACGGAATCCGAGTCCAAGTATCCTAACTCCCAGGGCCGTATTTATTTCACTTGCACAAAGATGTTTGGTTTACAGCCCTCAACCATCAACCATCAACCATCAACCATCAACCATCAACCGTGAAAAACCATCAACCAAACTAATCTTGATTAAGAAATGCCTATCAAAACTGAATAAACAAAAAGTATTATGACTGGATCTGACAATTACAGGTTTTCTCTTTACTGTTTTTAACACTGGAATAAAAGAATGCTGACTAAGTCACAAGAACAATAAGGCATAATTATTTATTCCATTATGCATTAAGTAGACTTGGTTTAAGGTAAGGTAATTAGCATTAAGCCCCACCTGAAGACCCAAAATTAATTAACTTGAACTTTCCCAGTTTTTCTCCCCATTGATTTGACCTACTTCATTATGTCCAGTTTCTACAATCTAGGCATTCATATGAGATTTCCCAAGGGGTTAATACGACTTGGTCTTGACAAGCTGCCATTTTCAGTCTGGTTTTTGTTTTGTTGGCTTTGTTTCATTTCGTTTTTAGTTGCTTTGGGGCAAGCAATGACCATCATTTAGATTTGAAACTTTTAATCTTGTGATGAATTGTATTTGAAAACTGCATTCTAAATTTAGCTTGATTTCCCCAACAAGCTCCTCAAGATCAAGACATTTCATATATTTTATGTTTTCAAAAATAGAATTCCCAACTTCAGGCTGTCTTCATGACAGTTCGCAACTACAAACATAAATTAACAAGTGCAAGGTTTAGGATCAAATTAACATGGGCTTGACAGAAGAGGGTTCCAAACTGATAAGTGGGTTACAAAACTTTATTTACAAGTGAGTTGTATGGAAATTGTGATGGGTTTTCCCAAATTAAAGTCAGTGCTAATAGCATTGATTTTCAGTAGAGCTTTTTTTAATTAAGAAAATTATATATCATTCAACTCTTGCAAGAAAGGTCCCTATGCCTGCTATGAACCTTCACTTGGCTCACCCCTCTGCCTGGGGCATGGAGCAAGTAGTCCACAGAGCAATGAGAGGATGCCCCCATATAAGAGACTACCCCCTTCTACTGGTACTGGGCTCCCTCGTTCAGCAGGGGTGGGGGTACACAAGTCCTCTGCAGGGAGGTAGAAGGAATGTGCTTATGAGAGCCAGGGTATAAGCACCCGGAGCACTGCCTCAGGGGAAAAAAAAGGAAAGAATGGGTGGACCTAGAGCTGGGTTGGGGACCAGCCCTCCCTGCAGTGCCACATTCTACAGAAATCTAAGAGTCTGAAAAATTCAAATCTCATCTTCCAAGTTCTTAAAAGGTGTATCTGCAAAGAAGGAGGCTAGAAGCGAATATTTTATTCACATTTTTGTTGTCTAGGTTTTTTTTTAAACAAAAGGAGCAGACCAAACTTGGCAAAATACAGAACTAGGCAAGCTATATTAGATACATTAACAATAGCTAGTAAGTATATAAAAATGAGTTGGGGTGCGTGGCTGGATCAGTTGGTGGAGCGTGCCACTCTTGATCTCGGGGTTGTGAGTTTGAGCCCCACATTGGGTGTGGAGATTACTTAAAGATAAGAAATATTTTTAATAAATGAGTTCAGGGGCACCTGGGTGACTCAGTCGTTAAGAGTCTGCCTTTGGCTCAGGTCATGATCCCAGGGTCCTGGGATCAAGCCCCCCATTGGGCTGCCTGCTCAGCGGAGAGCCTGCTTCTCCCTCTCCAGCTCCCCCTGCTTGTGTTCCCTCTCTCACTGTGTCTCTCTCTCTGTTGAAAAATGGATAAAATCTTAAAAAAAAAAAAAAAAAGAACTCGGGGCGTCTGGGTGGCTCAGTCGATTAAGCGTCTGCCTTTGGCTCAGGTCATGATCTTAGGGTCCTGGGGTCCAGCCCTGCATGGGGCTCCCTGCTCAGTGGGGAGTCTGCTTCTCCTTCTCCTCCTCCCCTCTGCTCATGCTTATGTTCTCTCTCTCTCTTTCTCTGTCTCTCTCAAATGAATAAATAAAAATCTTTAAAAAAAAAAAAAAAGAACTCTTACAACTCAACGGTAAAAAGATTGCCCAAATGAGTAAATGAGTACTCAAATTACTAAAAAAGAGTAAAGGATCTAAATAGACATTTCTCCAAAGAAGATATGTGTAAATGTCCTAAATGTACATAGTGAAAGATGCTCAACATCATTATTCATTAGGAAAATCAAAATCAAAATCAAAGTGAAATACCTCCTGAACCCACTGTGACAGCTAGAATCAAAAACAGACAATAATGAGTGTTGGTGAGGATGTGGAAAAATCAGAACCCACATATGTTGCCATGGGTCTGTAAAATGATACAGCCACTTTTTTTTCATGTTAAAACTTGTTGTTTCTGGATCACTTTTCTTTTTTTATTTCAGGATATTCTGAAAACTGGTACAATGGATGACCAAACTTATCTTTTTTATTTTTTAATTTAAATTCAATTAACTAACACATAATGTATTATTGGTTTCAGAGGTACAGGCCTGTGATTCACAGTCTTATATAACACCCAGTGCTCGTTACATCACATGCCCTCCTTAATGTCCATCACCCAGTTACCCAATCCCTCCACCCACTTCCCCTCCAGCAACCCTCAATTTGTTTCCTATGATTAAGAGTCTCTTAGGGTTTGTCTCCCTCTCTGGTTTCATCTTGTTTTATATTTTCCTCTCTTCCCCAATGATCCTCTGTTTTGTTTCTTAAATTCCACATATCAATAAGATCATAGGATAATTGTCTTTCTCTGATTGACTTAATTCACTTAGCATCATACCCTCTAGTTCCATCCATGTCATTGCAAATGGCAAGGTTTCATTTTCTGATAGCTGAGTAGTATTCCATTTTATATATATATACATATATACCACATCTTCTTTATCCATTTATCTGTCGATGGACATCTGGGCTCTTTCCATAGTTTGGCTATTGTGGACATTGCTGCTATAAACATGGGGGTGCACATGCCCTGTGAGATAACTATGTTTGTATCTTGGAGGTAAATACTCAGTAGTGCAATCCTGGGTCATAGGGTAGCTCTATTTTCAACTTTGTGAGGAACCTCCATACTGTTGTCCAGAGTGGCTGCACCAGCTTGCATTCCCATCAACAGTGTAGGAGGATTCCCCTTTCTCCACAACCTCACCAACACCTGTCATTTCCTGACTTGTTAATTTTAGCCATTCTGACAGGTGTGAGGTGGCATCTCATTGTGGTTTTAATTTGTATTTCCCTGCTGCCGAGTGATGCTGAGCACTTTTTCATGTGCCTGTTGGCCATTGATACAGCCATTTTTGAAAGCAGTTCAGCAATTTTAAACATAAAACAGCAAAACATAAAGTTACCATATGACCCAGCAGTTCCACTCCAAGTATATACCCAAGAGAAACAAAAACATATGTCCTCCAAAAAACTTGTACACAAATATTCATGGCAGCATTATATGCATAATAGCCAAAAAGTAGAAACAACCCAAATGTCCATCAACTGATGAATAGATAAACAAAAATGGGTTATGTCCATTTAATGGGATATTATTCAGACATAAGAAGAAATGAAGTACTGATACATGCTACAACATGAATGAACTTTGAAAACATTATGCTAAGTGAAAAAAGCCAGACACAAAAGATCATACATTTTATGATTCTGACTTATGTGAAATGTCCAGAATAGGCAAATCTGTAGAAAAAGAGGTTTGGTAGCTGCCTAGGGCTGAAAGACCAGGAGTAAAGGGGAGAATAGAGAGTCACTACTAATGGATACAAAGTTTCTTTTTTGGAGTGAAGAAAATATTCTCAAATTAGATTGTGGTGATAGTTATACAACTCTTTGAGTACACTAAAAAAATCATTGAGTGATACATTTTAAATTGGGATATTTTACAGTATGTGATTTATATTTCAGTAAAGCTATCTTTTAAAATGCAGTGTTGGTGATCATACTGCATAAAAGATATTCTATATACTGCTAGAAATATGCAACCTTTAAAGAAGACAATTTCTTTCAAAATATAATATGCACGTATGTTTTGATGTAGAAATTCCAATTCTAGACCTCTCTCCTATTTGCACATATTTGCAGAAGTTTATACAAAGATGTTTTGTCACAGATGTTTTAATAGTTAAATACAGAAATCAACCTAAATGCTCATCAGGGAGCAGCAACACCATATAATATTATGGTGCTTTCATACTCTTGTTAAAGAATGAAATTTTGTATTTTGGTTTGGAAAATATATCTACTAGAGATGCCAAATTTTTTAATTTGTTCAACCAACGAGAAGAGAAAGATCTCTCCAATTTCGAGCCTAGTTATTTTCCATTACATAGCAAGAGAATTTACATAATTTATTTATCAGTGAATTAATATGATACAAGATGAGTGAGATCAGGGACCCTGGGTGGCACAGTTGGTTAAGCTTCTGACTCTTGGTTTCAGCTGAGGTCATGATATCAGGGTCATGAGATTGAGCCCCACGGAGTTGGGCTCCGTGCTCAGTGCAGAGTCTACTTAAGACTCTCCCCCTGCCCCTCCCCCCCTCAAATAAATAAATAAATCTTTAAAAAAATAAGATGAATGAGAGTTATTAATTATCAAAGGCTTGTAAAAATTTTTAATTTCCTGAACAAATACAATTCCCTAGAGTGTATTACAGTTTCCTGTAAAGAGTCTATTTTGTATTTACTTAAGTGTACAGGTTATAACCTTTAGTAGATGGTTATCACACTTAAAAATTTTAAAGAAACTATAACTGTGTTTGCAGGAGAACATTGATACAATTAACCTTAAAGAACTTTGTCTTAGCTTCAAGTTTTGTCTGCTGTGTTCTTGAGATAACCAACTCTAAGTGTACTTCCTTCTTCCTGGAAATTAACCTGATGAGTAGCTTCATCCTTTTTTTCCCCCCCCTAATTTTTCTTTACCATTGAGATTTGGAAAGTTTCTTTTTTTTTTCCTCATTTTAACAGAAGCTGAATTTTTAGTGTGTAATTTTTTTATGTCCGCCTAATGTGATACCATGCAGCAATTTGTTTAAATTTGAACTAATCACTGTACACTGGTATGGAAAGATCTTTAAGATATATTATTCAGTGAAAAACGTACTTGTATAAGTATGCTCAGAACTATGTGGCGAGAAGGAATTGAGATAAGTGGATTGTGTTTTTACTACATATATACCCAAATTGTTTGGCATTTTTTTTAAAGATTTTATTTGTTTATTTGAGAGAGAGAGAGAGAATGAGAGAGAGAGAGAGCACGAGAGGGAAGAGAGTCAGAGGGAGAAGCAGACTCCCCGCTGAGCAGGGAGCCCGATGCGGGACTCGATCCCGGGACTCCAGGATCATGACCTGAGCCGAAGGCAGTCGCTTAACCAACTGAGCCACCCAGGCGCCCTTGGCATTTTTATAATGTGCATTAATTCATGAATTTCATATATAATCTCTGATATAGCTGAATAAATCATCCCAGGAGATCCCCGTGTGACTCAAGAAGGATACACAAAAGGACTCACTCACCCTAACTATAAATGACTGAGTAGTTATTCAACCCTCTAGATTTTTCATATTTTTAATGATGATATTCCTTAACCCAAGTTAATTTTCATTTGGTGGAATTTCATGCATTAAAAAAAATGAAGTAAAACATTGAGGAAAATGAGGCATTTGGCGGCGGGGGGCAGGGGGGTGTGGTTGGGAGAATGTGTAAGAGTTTATAGAAGAATGGATGAGCCAGGAGCCTCTCTCAGGATTTACCTTCCTCAATCTTTGTCTGCTTTTCCCAGCTGCTGCTCTTTCTCTTATAGCCCAGAGATTAGCTGACATTCCAAATTCTACTACAGGTGATAAGGTTCTCATAATGAAAGTGGGGGGTGTGTGCATGTGTGCCCACATGTCTTTATAAAACACTTATAAAATAATTAGAATCAACACTTTCCTCTAAAAGTTAAGCTAATAAATTTTAGCCACCTGAAAAAGACACATCCTGTCCTTAACCCAACTCTGTTCACCATTCAGCTAAGCAAGTTTTCATATGTTAAAAAAAATATATATGCAATCACATTTTCAAGATGGTAACAAAAACTATTCAAAGGGGACTACTACAATGGAGTTTTGTAGGTGGGGAGAGAAATCGGGCTTAACTCCAAATACAGCAAGGAGAAGTGGAAATTTAGGGGCGCCTGGGTGGCTAGTTGTTAAGTGTGTCTGCCTTCAGCTCAGGTCATGATCCCAGGGTCCTGGGATTGAGCCCCGCATCGGGCTCCCTGCTCAGCGGGAAGCCTGTTTCTCCCTCTCCCACTCCCCACTGCTTGTGTTCCCTCTCTCGCTGTGTCTCTCTCTGTCAAATAAATAAAATCTTTAAAAAGGGAAGGGGGAATTTATTGCCAAAGAGCAAGTTGGGTGGGAGGAGGCAAGGTAGGTGAATGTAGAATTGTTAAGAGGAAACATCAGGAGTGAGAGAAGATTCTGGCTAAGCCCATCTAACAAGACTCTTGCTGAAGGCAGGCCAGAGTAATCAGACCACCTGGGGAACAGTGGAGGGTAAGGAACCCACTCAGATATTGAGGGTGATCAGATAGCGAAGGTGGGAGATTCTGACTAAACCAACTTGACAGGATTCTTGCTAAAATTAGGCAATGCAGAGAAAGACATAGAAGTCCAAAAGTCAGGACCAGGTGAGGGAAGAGTTCCAATGAACCTGACTAAAGTGTGCTCAAGGGCAGACTCTTTGTTACATTCATAATCTGCAAAAAGAGTAAGATTCCTAAAATCCTTGCATTCCATGGTAAGCCAAGAATAACAGCCACACCCTGGTTTCCTTTACCAAAACACAGAAACATCATTTTATTTTTGATCAAAACTGAACTCAATGCCATCTAATTAGAATTGCTGGCA